AAAAATGACAGAACTTTGAGGACAGTAGATATGTTTAACCCTACTTATTTTGTGGTTCTGAAATTAAGTCCATGGTCCTCATATATGCTGCACAAGCATTCTGTCATTGAACCACATCCCCAGTCTTTAAAATTTTACACAATTCAGATAAAGTATCAAAACATCACATCAGCTAGGGATTAGCTCAGGAGGGGAAGCGCCTACCTAGCAAGCGCAAGGTCATGGGTTCAGTCTCTGTACTAATAAAAAAAATCACATAAAATCTCTCCAGTGTATGATTTTTGTTTCTGTGTATCAGTGTAAAAATAAATCAACATTTATTATTATTATTTTGTCTTTGAGACAGGGTCTTACTATGCAGTTTTGGCTAGCCTTGGGCCCACTTTGTGGCCCAGGTTGGTCTCGAACTTGCAGTGATCCTCCTGCTTCCCGAGTGCTGGGATTACAGGAGTGTGGCACCATGCCCAGCTGTTTATTGTTTATTTGAAAAACATTGGTTCATAGTATTGGGCTTTCAGAAGTTGACACATTTTATTAGGCAATATGAAAACTTTTTCACTATGTACTTCAGGCTGGCCTCCTGCCTCAGCTTCCTGAGTGCTAAGATGGGTGTGCACCATCATGCCTGTCATATATGCTAATATCACCAATTTTCCTCATATGTTAATATCAATTTTCCTGAGTGTTGGGGTTGCAGGATGAGTGGCTTACAGTATTTAGCTAAAACTTCTTTGAGAAGTTAGCAACTACATGGAAGAGGATAATAATTTTCTGAAATTACACTTTTTGTTCAATTTCTCAGATTTTATTAATGTTAATGTATTATGTCAGTTTTTCTTGAAATGATTAACTTCATTCTATCTGAAGAATTAAATAATGCCTAAATCTGATATCCTTCCAAGTAAGATGGATGTGAAAACAGGCAACCTAAGCAATTGCCCATGCATTTTTAAGACTTAGAGCTCTAAGTAGCATGCTTAATGTACAAAAGTTTACATGCCCCCCCCCCCCTTGGTACCAGGTATCGAACTCGAGACCTCACACTTGACAGTCAGGTGCTTATGCCACTGAGCTAATTCCCTAGTCCCCGAAGTACACGTCTTAACAATTTTCATAGAACTAATATTTGTCATTCTTTGACTTATTTGTGTGGTTTGTCTGTATTTTGCACAAATTCCCTTGTAGTAAAAACCTTCTCCGTACTATGTACATAGTTAATGGCATTGAGAAATCTCTTGCATTTTTTTGTTTTTTTCCCCTACCCTGTAGATGTTACTGGAATTTTTGTGCTGCTGAAGTAAGTATTTTACTAAAATTTTTATAGTGCTCCATCTGGACTGGTGGCTGTACTCAGACCTCATAATCAGGTTCTACTTTGGAGATCCTCTGGTCTGTTTTCTTAGTTGTATCCTCTTCCTTGGAATTCTGTGTGTCTATTCCCTTTTCTGGCTACTAATTTTGATGGTTGACATTTTCCAGTAGCATCCTGAGAGAAAAGTTCCTTTAGAGGTGAGATTTTTGAGCACTTGTATACTGAAAAGTGTGTTTTGCTGTTGCATTTGGTACTGAGAATCAAGCTCAGGACCTCACACTTCCCAGTGTTCATTTTTTTGAGGCAGGATCTTGCTACTGTAGTACAGGCTGGCCTCAAACTCACAGCTTCTTTCTGCCTCAGCCTCTTTGTGTGCTATAAGTGGATGCCATCATGTCTGGCCTAAAAAGTGCAGACATGCCATTGGGATTCATGACTTTTGAAGCAGGTTCTCATTGTTGGTTCTTTAAATAAATTTGCCCTAGTTGGTATTTTTTCCTTTTTCCAGAACATGAACCCAGGGCTTTTATACTGTGCTACATCTTTATCACTTTGTTTTGTTTTTTGAGACAGGGTTTCACTGGGTTGCCCAGGGTAGCCTTTAACTCACAGCAGTCCTCCTGCTTTAGACATCCAAGTCCTGTAATTACAGGTATAGGTATGCACTGCTTCGCTGAACCCTCTGTCACTTCTTGTATTTCAGGGCAGTCTTGCTAATTGCCCAATCTGGACTTGAACTTTGAGTTTTCCTGCCTTCTTAGCCTTCAGCTCTCTGAGACTCAGTTATTGCATTTCCTTGTTATATTCATTTGTTACTAAAACTTCCACCAAAAAATGATACTTCCCCTTTGTGATGGTATTGTATCAATATATCTACTGGCCATGCCTAAGCTTGCTAGAGTTAGATAATATAAAAAATATTTCGGAGTAAAGAGACCCTGCTTTTTGTTTATTTTGTGTTTTGGTGGTGGTGGTGGTTTTTGAGAAAAGGTCTCACTGTGTGGTCTGGACTGGCCTTTAACTCAATATATAGCTGAGAGTGGCCTCAAACTCATGGCTGTCATCCTACTTTAACCTTTCAAATGCTAGGATTACAGGCATGTGCCAGTATGCCAGCAGAGACCCTGTTCCTGATAATAGCAATACAGCCTACCTCAGCTTTCCCATCATCTGCATAGTCCTAATTACTGTGGAAACTTTCTTATACTTCTTACAGATTTTATACTCTTTCACTGGTAAATACCTTCTTTAGCCTGACTTAGAGCTCACAATGCTTTTGTTCATCCTTTTGATGCTAGAATTAAGGGCATGTACGTCCGTGTTCTTTTGCTTTTTAAGCCCGTGCACCGCCTGGCTTACAGGAAGGTGTGGTTTCTTTTCTGGCTAAGTCCTTTATCCATTAGAGTGACAGAGTCTGCTTTACAAGAAGGCATGGTTTCTTTTCTGGCTGAGGCTCTTTCCAATGCACATGGCATAGCCTGCTTCTTGGAAAGGCCCTGCCTTCCATTTTAATGGCGTTCCTCAAATGTGTGTGGAATATTTGCTGCAACGCTATATTTAACCATGGCTCACTGAAGGTGGTTGGGAACTCTTACATGGAAAGCTTCAGTAGGTAAAAGTAAAATGATCAGTCATTTGCTCCCCTGAAAAAGTTATACTGCCTTTGAATTCAGCCATGATCTGGTCCTTTGTTTTGGCCAATGAAATTAAGTACAAGTAAAGGTTTTATCATAGAGGAGCATCCTAGCTTTGTTGTGGGATTTCTTCAGACAAAGATCCTTATATATATCCTTCTCATAGGTATGTATACCTCCGTGGATAGTTTTTGGCCTTCTCTACAAAGTGGTGTTGAAATTCCAACCATGTTTGTATCTAGACAATTCCATTGATTTCAGTATAGCAGCTCTTCCCTGTCATTTGGTGGATATCCTGTGTATGGAGCTTTTTGGCCTAGTTGTTTCTTTCTTTCTTTCTTTCTTTTTTTTTTTTTTTTTTTTTTTTTTTTTTTTTTTTTAGTCTATTTGAGACAAATATGCAGTTCAGACTGACCTTGAGCTCACTTTGTATCCCAGGCTGGTCTTGAACTCGCAACGATCCTCTTGCCTCGGCTTCCCTGAGTGCTGGAGTGACCATAAGCCACCATACCCAGCTACAGTTGTTTCTTACATCATGTTTTCCAGCTATTATCTGGAGTCAATTTGAGATAGTTGATTCCCTTCATTTCTTTTTTCTGTTTTTGTGTGGGAACTTTTTATTTTTTTCTTTATGCAAATCAGCTTGGTTGCTTTGGCATCTTTTTTTTTTTTTTTTTTTGGTCTTTTTCGTTTTTATCAGTACAGGGGATTGAACTCACGACTGCCTGCTTGCAAGTCAGGCGCTTATGCCTCTGAGCTAAATCCCCAGGCACCCCCCTTCCCCCCTTTTTTTGACTTTGGCATCTTTTACAAAGTCTTAACATAAAGTGAGATTGAAGGGCCTTTCAAGGGATTTAGCTCAGCAGCAGAAGTGCCTGCCTGGCAAGCATAAGGTTGTGAGTTTGATCCCCAGTACCAATAAATAAATGAATAAATAAAGTGAATATTCAAATAATGTTTTACTGGGGCTGGGGATTTAGCTCAGCGGCATAAGCGCCTGCCTTGCAAGCAGGCAGTCGTGAGTTCAATCCCTGGTACTGATAAAAACGAAAAAGACCAAAAAAAAAAAAACAAGAACAAATAATGTTTTACTATACACTGGAAATCTTACAGTTCATTTTTCTTATTGTAAAATTGTTGTGTAGGTTTTTTTTTTTTTTTTCCCACTATGTAGTTCAGGCTGGCCTTGAATTTACTTTATAGCCCAGGCTGACCTTAAACTTGCAGTGAACCTTTTGCCTCAACCTCCAGAGAGCTGGGATTACAGGTGTGTGCCACCACACCTGGATCTGTGTAGTGATCTTTCTAATACATCCTGCTTTGTGTGAGTTTGTGCATTTTCCCTTTCCTTTTTAATGGGATGTGGGAGGGTACTAAGGCTAGAACTCAGGGTCTTTATCCTGATGTACATCCGCTATTCATTCACACTGTCCATCTCCAGCCTTTTCATTTATTTTGAGACAACTAAGATGCTAAATTACCCAGGCTGGGTCCAGTATCGGCCTCTCAGGGAACTGGAATTATAGGCATGAACCCCCATGCCTGGATTACTATAGGGTCTTAGTAATCATTCAGATTGGCCTTGAACTTAATATGTAGCCCAGGCATGCACCACCATACCTGGCTTAGGCTCAAATTTTAAGATCCTTCTGTCTCAGCTACCTAAGGTACTGAGATTACAGTTGTATACCACCAAACCCAGATATGAACTTTGTCCTTTGTAAACTTAGAACGTTAAAAATTTTTTTGCACCTCAAATTCATCTGCAAAGATTTTCTTCTCCAAATTTAGTTGTCTTTTTTTTTTTTGGTACCGAGGATCGAACTCATGACCTTGTACTTACCAGGCAGGCACTTAAACCACTCAGCTAAATCCTCAGCCCCTTCCAAATTTAGTTGGGAAATATGAGTCATGGATTCTGAAATCTGAAATTTTATTTCAAGTAAGAAATTCACAGGTAGCAGTAATGATTGTTAAATGATTGTTGAATGTACCACTTGAGCTCTTTATACATTAATTCCTTTAAATGATGGTTTTTTTGTACTCTGTTGTAGAATAATTCTGAGAAGATAATGAGCAGATAAAGCAACATCAAGACTTGTGAGGCAAGTTACATCCATCTCCAATAAAGTGTGTCGGGAGAAAACAGTGAATATAAAAAAATTAGAAAAATAATTCCTTTTCTCATAAACATTATTTCTCTTAAGGCAGCACCTTTTTGAAATTTTAATTTCAAAAGTTAATTTAGACTGAATTATGAGGGAAGCTGTGTAGAAAAGTATTATCAATTTTATTAATTTGGAAATCATCTACTAGAGCTTATTCACTGTGATTATAGCCCCCTTGAAAGTCAATGTGGAAATCCTTTGTATTCTATTTGACAGCAAAGCATTCCTCACTGGAGAGAAATCTATGAATTTACTGAATGTGGGTAAACGTTTATTCACATGTCTCATTGAAACCATTCATGCTGAAGAGATACCCTGTATTTCTAAGGAATATTAAAAAGCCATTAGCTTGATGAAAGATCTCATTGAGCAGCAGAAAGTTCATGCTCAAGAAAAACCGGTCACTATAACATATTATCATTGAATATTAGAATTTTATTCTGAAGAGAAAGCTTTGAATGTGCTATGTGTGATAAAATTATCTCTTAACTTTATCCCTTATTTTGCATTTGATAGATCATACACAGAGAAGTTTTATAAATGTAAGAAATGTTGAAATATCTTCAGTCAAAAGTAAATCCTCATTCATCAAAAAATTTATACTGGAGAGAAATCTTGTGAATGTGGGAAAGCTTCCATTCAGATGTCACACCTCGGTCAGCAGAGAAATGGTGGGGAAAGCCCCTTGGCCTGTAAAGTATGTGGGAAAATCTTCAGCCAAAAATCCAGTCTTACTGAACACGAGAATTTTCATAACAGAGAGAAACCTTTTGAATGTAATGAATGTGGGAAAGCCTTTAGCCAAAAGCAGTATGTTATTAAACACCAGAACACCCATACTGGAGAGAAGCTTTTTGAATGTAATGATTGTGGAAAATCCTTTAGCCAGAAGGAGAACCTCCTTACTCATCAGAAAATTCACACTGGAGAGAAACCTTTTGAGTGCAAAGATTGTGGGAAAGCTTTCATTCAGAAGTCAAACCTCATCAGACACCAGAGAACACACACAGGAGAGAAGCCCTTCATATGTAAACAGTGTGGGAAAACCTTTAGTGGCAAATCAAATCTTACTGAGCATGAGAAAATTCATATTGGAGAGAAACCCTTTAAATGTAATGAATGTGGAACAGCTTTTGGCCAGAAGAAGTACCTCATAAAACATCAAAATATTCACACTGGAGAGAAACCTTATGAATGTAATGAATGTGGAAAAGCCTTTTCTCAAAGAACATCACTCATTGTACATGTGAGGATTCATTCAGGTGATAAACCTTATGAATGCAATGTATGTGGGAAAGCCTTCTCTCAGAGTTCTTCTCTCACTGTACATGTGAGAAGCCATACAGGTGAGAAGCCCTACGGTTGTAATGAATGTGGGAAAGCTTTCTCACAGTTCTCAACCCTAGCCCTGCATTTAAGAATACACACAGGTAAGAAGCCTTATCAATGTAGTGAATGTGGAAAAGCTTTTAGCCAGAAGTCACACCACATTAGACACCAGAAAATTCATACTCATTAAGACCTGTAAATAGCTTCAAAATGAGAAAATATGCACCAGGAATTTGTATCTCGCAGTGAATCAGAACTATTTTGAAGCAAAGTATCCTGAGTGAAGTGAACTTTAAAATAAATGCTAAAATTTTATAGGACACCAACAGTTCATACTGAAGAAAAAGACATTTGTATGATGAAAAGACTGCTCACTCCAAATGAAAAAAAATGTCAGAAGTAATACTGCAGATGCATTTCCCTAAAATCAGGGACAGAAAATATAGAGGCCTGTTACTACACTCAGCATAAATATGGAGATCTTCATCGTATCGGAAAAATAAGTTTTAAGTATTACAAAGGAAAAAACAAAGTAATAAGCCTTTGTGCTAGGTAGAAGATATTCCAGAAAGACCTGTGCATTTATTCAAATATAGAATATGAAAGATGGCGTTGGGAGGTAAGGAAATAATTTAAAGACCTGTTTGAAGGTAATTTGAGGGTACAGAGTAGAGCATGGGTTACACAGAAAAGTAAAACTCACAAGAATTAAAGACCATTACTAAAATCCAGTGTACTAAAAATGGTTATGACCTTGAGAGTAGGAAAACATTTCTTGTAACAAACTCAAAAATATGTATTAGTTGTAGTTGCCTGTATGCTCAGGAAATACCAGGAGTTTCTCTGTGGCTCAATTTGTAATAGCTGGATACTGGAAACAATTCAAATATCTTATGGAATATTACACATCTATAAAAATGTAACAGATCAAAGCCACATGTTGATGGAAACACCTGAAAAATGTTGAGAGGGAAAGTTGGAGAAGGATGCATATAGTACAATGACTTTGTAAATTTGAATTCTATGAGTTTCCTTGATACAGTTCAACACTTTATATTGCTAATGGATTCACATACATATGTAAATGTTTTTGAAGTGAATTGGAAGGATACAGACCAAACTTGATGTTGGTCTGTGAAGAATGGAGAAGGGATAGGAATGAGAGAGGGTGGGGGTGGGGAGGGGCTTCATCTTTTTATATAAATATCCATTTCTCTGCAAGTAAATGTAATAAGATACTCGCTAATTCTGCATTGTGGTATATGGATATCTTGTCTTATTTTTTGTACTTTTCTGTATTTTTAAAGTTTCACAAAATTAAAGAATAGGGTGTTGATGAAAATTCTGTACCTGTAGAAATTATGTTATAATGAATTAATTCTCAATCAAATACTAAACTTTTTATAGAAGTTATTTCTAAAAATTTTATCAACAATGAGTGGATGGACTTAATGTATGTAATATGAAATTATCTATTTTATTAAAATTTAAAATGAAATAGTCCAAATGTTTTATTTTGAAAGGTTATAGTATGTATATATTGTCTGTGTCTTCACATTATTAATCTTTTATAAAATACCATTTGGGCTTGGAAAAAATTTTTTTGTTTTGGTGCTTATGCTTGGACTTGGGGCCTCCCACTAAGCTACCTACATCCCAAACCCTTTTTGTTTTTAGTTTTGAGACAGATTCACTAGATTGCCCAGGCTGGCCTTATATTTGTGATCTTCCTGCCTCAGCATTCTAGATATGGGGATTACAGGTGTGCACTACTGTACCTGCTTAATGTCATTAAGGATACATGCCCAAATTGATTTTTTTGAATGTTAGACTATCCTATAAATTGAGCTTACATATTTATGATAATTTTGTTTTAAAAAAGAAGACAAAGTTTACTGTCCTTTCACAGTTGAGTACATTAAATACAAACCTAGATCTCAGTCTTTGTGTATTTGAGATCGGGTCTCATGGGCAGCTTGGCCATGAATCTGCCAGCCAGCCTTGTCTTGGGAACAGAGATGCTGTGCCTGCAGTGCACCCGCTTTTCCACAGGTTCCTTTCAAACTGTGGAGTATTTCCTTCTCCCATTGCTTAAACAGATAAAACTTTATACAGGGCTGGGATGGCAATGAAAAAAGTGGCGCTGACCTGGGCAATTCTGTTGTATAAACTAGTCTTTGAATTATTTAAAGAAATGGAAACCAATTAAGACTTCTACTGAAGATTTTTTAAATACTAGTGAAAGAATACAGCTGCATTAAGGTTGATTGCCAAACTTTCAAAAATCTTTAAGTAATACAGCTATAGTACCTTTTAGCCTGTGTGAAGGAAATACTACAAATTATATACCTGCTTGGGAGGAGCATTCGTTTCTGTGCCGGCCAGCTGCAGGAGCAGGGTTTTGTTATGACTTGGGTCTATTTCCATTGCACATGGAGCTTCCTGGTAGGGGCCCTGTGTTGTCATCAGCAGAAAGCTTCCTGGAGAAGACTGCTAAATGTCACCAGGGGTCTGGCTGGACTGTCAGGTGGAGCTGCTGTGGGCTGGTGCAGGTGTATGATCTAGTGCACCAGGGGCTGAAGTAAAGAGGTAATTGGGACTGTCAAGTGAATCAGGACCTTATTTCTGGATATTCCCATTTATATCTGAATATACAAAACAGCTAAGGACACCTGGAAGGTATTTTCCCAGTACTGATGTTTCCGACTATTTCAAATAGTAAGGGAGCAGAAACAATCCAGGTAATTTTTCAGTATACCACCCAAACCCTTTTCTACTTCTGAAACTCACTGAATGTCACAGGTACTGTTTAGTGGTATATTACAAGGGGCACTGCCAAAGGAGAAACAGAAGTCTCAGTAGAAGGTGCCAAAGTACATTTTAAGAATGAAGCCAGATGTGGTTGTGCACACCTGTGATTCCAGCACTCTGAAAAGCATAGCAGGAAGGAGGATGGTGATTTGTGCCCAGGCTGGGCAACTCAGTGATTTAGCAAATTCTCAAAATGAAAAAAAAATTTTTTTTTAAGGGCTGGGAATATAGCTCAGTACAAAGATGGGTTCAGTCCCCCAGTTTCCCTCCCCCGCCCCTCAAATCACATTTGGAATGGAAACTTATGTGCAGTAGTGATGACTGAAATAGTGAGCTAGCCGGTTTGTTAGATTATTCTGTTACTTTTTAAACAAGTGCAGAATTAGCACAGCATGGTGGAAGGCTGAGGCAGGATGGTCTCAAATTGCAGCCCAGCCTGGGCAATTTAACAAGACTCTCAAAACATTAAAAGGGCTGTGGATAAAATCAGAGTAAATGAGTTGAGTTAAATCCCCAGTATGACTCCCAACCAAATGTAAAGTTTCCTTTTTTGGGGGGGCGGGGTGGAGTGGGGAGGATGAGTGTTCAAACTATTGGTGATATTCCTCTCTCTGCCTTTAAGAGTGCTGGGATTACAGGTGTGCATCACAGTGCCCTGGCTGCTGGAAAGATCCCACCTCTACCTCATTTCTTTTCAGTATCAGGGATTGAACCCAGGGGGTTTTAAGTTGGGTTCTGGCTAAACTGCTAAATTGTCCTGGCTAGGCTCAACTTTGCCATCTTCCTGCCATAATCTCCCAGAGTGCTAGGATTAGACGTGAGTTCATTTGTTTCTTGAATCATTTAGGAATTTAAAAACTTCTGAAAGTGGGGCTAGGGATTTAGCTCAGCGGCATAAGCACCTGCCTTACAAGCAGGCAGTTGTGAGTTCGATCCCTGGTACCGATAAAAAAGGAAAAAGAAAAAAAACAAAAAATTACCAGTAGCCCTGGTAATGTTTTGATGGACATATTTTCCAAATTTTTTTCCTGTGTTTGTGTTCAATTTTAATGGACTGGATTATCACATTTCAAATGATTTCAAGTTTAGAAGTGAGGAAAGAAATCATAAAAGGAAAGGTAGGCTGCAGTTAAATGTACAAAGCTTGAAACTTCTATACAGTTTCCTTCCCCAAGCAAATTAAAATGTTAACAGTTTGTAAAAAAATATTCGCAGCAAAAATCATGAGGTTTAGAAACAGAATAGTTGGGGCTGGGGGTTTAGCTCAGCGGCATAAGTGCCTGCCTTGCAAGCAGGCAGTCATGAGTTAGATCCCCGGTACCGATAAAAAGACAAAACAAAAACAAAACAGAATAGTGAAGTAAATTGGTATAGCCATTTAGGAAAGTTTTAAGCTTTTCTGTATATTATGTATGGATTTATGATGAAAAGCACAGCTTTTTTTTTTTTTTTTTTTTTTTTGTACCAGGGATTGAACTCATAACCTCGTGCTTACCAGGCAAATGCTTGAGTCGCTGAGCTAAATCCTAGGTCCAAAACAGAATTTTAAATAGAAAGTCTTTTTCTTTTTTTTTTTTAGGGGCTGGGGATTTCGCTCAGCGGCATAAGCGCTGCCTTGCAAGCAGTCGGTCGTGAGTTCGATCCCCGGTACCGATAAAAAGGAAAAAGACCAAAAATAAAATAAAATAAAATAACACTTTAAATGAAAAGTAAACATATAATGTAAACATCTGTATTCTATCTACGGAAAACAGGAGAAGTACCTATATCTGTTTTTTGCCACTTTATTTTCCTATTGCAGTGCCTTTCCATAATCTCTAGCCCTTTTTATTTTTTATATTGAGACAGAGTCTCACTTAATTGCCCAAACTGGGCTCAAACTTGTGTTCTGCCTCAGCTTCCCAGAATGCTGAGATTATGGTCAAACACTACAGTGCCCAGTTAGCTAAGTCATAAGTGCACATTCTCCTTTTCTTTTGCCTTGTCTTCAGTCACTCCCTTTCTTCTTTCTTTCCCTTCCGCCTTTTCCTTCTCCCTCTCTTTCTTCCTCCCCTTTCCTGTTTTTCACTTCCTCCTTTCCTCTGTTTCCCTTACTCTTTCACTTTTTTTTTTTTTTTTTTTTTTGCACTGGGGATCAAACTCAGGACCTGGCACTTACACAGCAGGCGTTTTTGTAGCTGAGCTAAATCTCCAGCTTTCCTTTCTGTTTTTGTCTGCCTCCAGCAATATCTTCTTCATTAAACAGTACTTTTATATAGCTCTACCATAATTTGCTTAAAGCTTATTGAAAGACATTTATGTTTCTACATGTTTTGGATTTGCTTTGAGGAACATTCTTTGTTTGAGAGGTACAGTCTCCTTATGTAGTTCAGGCTGGTTCTGAACTCACTATGTAGCCCAGGCTAGGCTTGAACTTGAATCAGTCCTCCTGCTTCAGTGCTAGAATTATAGGCTTGTGAAACTACTCACAATTTCAAAGAGGAACATTTTTCTGAATATAATTTTTTACTTTCAAAATTATTTATTTTGGGACTTCCGGGAAAACATGGCGGATAGCAGCAGCTTCAGAGGCTCTCTGAGAAACCGCACTTAAAATCCAGGAATGGTGCCAGGCGAGAAATCCTAAGCAAGGGGAGATATACTTTGCCGACCCAGGAATGAACTAAACTAAGACAAGCCAACTGGAAACGCAATCCCGGTGATATAACAGGAACAGATAAGGTCTCAGCACGGAAGCTGGACCCTGCGCCACTGGAAGCTGCGATTTGAACTTCCTGCAGCTGCTGCTGCGTCCCAATCCGCACGGCAAGGAGACAGGCGCGAAAGCTCTGAGAGTGGGAAGCGGTGAATGGAGTTGAGAGCGGGACTGGCTGGGAGCCCTGCATCGACCTGCAGTGAGTGAGCGGATCGGGGACCCTTCCATAGAGTAGGCTTCAGCAAACGACATACTTGGACCCAGTGGGATGGCCGGGACAGGATGCTGCCTGCAGTGACTTCAGTCACATATTCCCCTCTCAAGCAGGATTGGTGGGGAGTGCCTGGCCTGCGTGATGCCACTGACTTAAGACCCAGTAGGCTAGCCCAAACCAGGTCCCAGCGCCTAGAGGTGCACCCTAGCAGTGAAGCCCTCAGTAGGTTGACCTGGAAGGGCAGGCCCAGCATAGGCTGCCTAGGTCTGTGTCTCCCTAGTATACTGCAGTGGGTGGGAACACCTAGCCAATGCAATTCAAACAAACTGTAACCAACAAAGAAAGAAACTGGGTCTCCTATATACGCTTGTATAAAAGGAACAAAAAATATGGGAAGAGGGAGCAACAAGAAAGGGTCCTCAGTCCCCAATCCCGAGAAACATGCAATATCAGATGCGGCACCAATAGACATAAAGCGCTATTTCCAGAGCCTCATAGACAAGTTAAGGAATTAAGGTTTTTTTTTGTTTTTTTTTTTTTTTTTTGTCTTTTTTATCCATACCAGGGATCAAACTCACGACTACCTGCTTGCAAGCCAGGCACTTATGCCACTGAGCTAAATCCCCAGCCCCAGGAATGAAGTTATTAACGAGCTGAAGCAAGATATAAGTAGAATAGTTAGAGAAGTGTAAGCACCGCCCAAGAAAAAACAGATGGTGGAATGGAAGAACAGAAAAAAAGGGGAGAATTGTTTGATGGAGAAAATAGAGAAAACATA